GAACCCTGAAACAACCTCTGGGCTGATCTAAGTCAGGGCGGACGAAACAAAGATCTGAAGTTTAGCATTATGGGTCAGTTCGAGGAGGTAGGGAAACCGAAGAAGTCTTAACAGAATAATAAATAAAACAAATAAAAAGGTTTAAATTGATTTAATTTTGAGATTCTTAGACTGCCCTGTTTCGAACGGGACAAAACCAAAATGTATAGCTAAAATGTTTGGTTCTATATATATATTTTTTCGCTTTCACTTATTTATCATATGATATTTTAAATCCCTAGCTTCAAGATTTTTTAAAATTAAAATTAAATGTCCAATTAAATAGGAATATTTTATTGATATGAATCTTTCTCTAGTCCCGACTTAGTTTTATTGTTTCATTTTACATTTCTTGTTCTCCTTTTTATTCATTAGAGTCTTGGCGTAGTGTCGTCGCTCAGCAGGCACTGTCCCCACCTATCAGGTACTACACTCTTTTATTCATCCACTTGTCTGTCTATATATCCTGAGTATCACTCTTCAAAATGATTCATTATAACGTCATTTAAATTCAGAGATTGTAAAACGTATACTATATTCCTTTAATTTTGAACGTTATTAAATRTACTCTCAAAACTATCTTAGCCGGATACGAGGCCAAATGGAAAAATTCAATTTCCAATTTTCCATCGAGAAAAGGTGCGATTTTTATATATTTCCCCGTTTCTCACTTCCAAAATAATTTTTTTAATTGCCTACAGCTGACCGCCTATTGGTGCACCCTAATTAAATAACGTCTATTAACTCTTTATATTATTGTCTATAGTCGTTCTAGTGCTTTCGCACTGATTGAGGACACTTTTTCGGTCACACACACACTTCCAATGCATTCAATATTCCATGCACACAGAACGCTCAACTCACATGTTGATTTTTACGGAGGGAGGAAACCGGAGAACCCGGAGAAAACCCCCGTAGCATAGGAGAGAACAACACATCAAACAAACTCAATTCAGGGCTCGAACCATTGGCCCGAACCTTTTAGGATCACAGTGGTGAAAAACGACGCGTTAGCAGCGCACGTCATCCATGCTACGTACAACCTTCTAGAAGTTACTAGAAATCCTATACCATATGGTTAATAATATAATAACATCCACGGAAGATTAACATCTTTTGGAAATAAGACGTTCATTAGCAACAATATTTTTTAGCCAAGAATTCATTAACAACTTCTTACGCTTTGTTAAAACACTTGTTCAAAGTGTTGATTATTAGCCCTGTTCACTAGATTGCACGATCGATGGATACGTAGCATTAATTTAACAGCTGTTCTCAAGCCTTTAATTTGGCTCAGTTTTGGCCCCGTTTACACGAAGCCGGATATTTTTTATCCGGGTAAAAAAGAGAGCTTTTACATGCGGCTTCGTGTAAACGCTCATCGTTTTCGCATCGTTTTCGACCGTTTACACGAAAACGCTCCATCGACTCGAAAACGCTCCATCGACTCGAAAACGCTCATAGGAGCTAAATGAGCATGCGCATAGTCCCTGAGCCTGCGATCTCCTTTGTTTAGTGACGTCAGAGTTTACGAAAATATCCGGCTTCCGAGTGTGTACACGTAAACGCATAGCCAGCGTTTTCAAAAATACCCACTTTGAAAAGCGTTTTCGAAAATAGCCGGCTAAAGACCGTCTCCGTGTAAACGGTAGGCCTAAACGGATAAAAAAATATGCGTTTACAAAAATATCCGGCTTCTTGTAAACGGGGCCTTAGTTATGCCGTAAAAATCAACATATGAGTTGAGCGTTGTGTGCATAGAATGTTGAATGTAGTGATATTAGTGTGTGTGAGTGAAAAGTGTCTAAACTATAACAGATATACCTGTTGTCCTCGTGTGTATCTTTAGATAGTTAATTCGGCTTATTACTTTAGTTTAAATATTTATATAACAAACTGCAAAAATGAAGTAAACACTACTAATTATTCMTAAGTTTCCTCTATTTCTTAATTTGGCGTTTTATAGGAAAAACTACTCGCGTTTTGTTTGAATCTTTATTTAGAACTTGGAAACCACGAAACTAGAGTTATGAGGATTTAATTATCAAGGCAAAGTTTAAACAAAAATTACCTAAAATGAACGTGTTAAAATGTAGTTACAACGCTATATTTTGTAGTTTTTACATTCTACAAACGTTTCCAACTCGGGCGTAATGTTTTCCCATTTCAGACCACGTGTCATTCTCTGGAGTATCATATTTTTGTTTAACGTTTTTTACTTGAATAGCCTCCTTCGCAGCCGTTCTTAGGGTCGTCACGCAACGCTTCCCAACGTTGCGTGACCACCCTAAGAACGGCTGCGAAGGAGGCTAGCACTTGAGAAGACACGCGCGTGAATTATGCAACCAACTCAATCAAAGCGAAAAGCACTCAGTTTTTCCGACGAGTCCTTAAGGAAGAAAACTTTTCGGAAAACTTTTTCTTTCAAGCTTTTCTCTTACACTGAACGAAAAATGATGTTTGCTAGATTATCRTATCTTTATGTAGATGATGGCTAGTAAACACTAGCGTGGACTGCGTCGGTGTTTCTAATGAAACAGTTATCGTAGAATGATAAGTTATACACCGTAGTGAAAATAGGAACTGACGTTTCGGAAGTTAGTCCTTCGTCGGAGTCAATAGAAAGTCTGACTCCGACGAAGGACTAACGTCCGAAACGTCAGTTCCTATTTTCACTACGGTGTATAACTTATCAATCTACGATAACTATTATATCTTTAGGTTCAGTGGTAAAACAAAAACTAAAGCTATCAATAATGGTTTTACTTCAAGTCCGAAAAGAAAGAGAGAAAGAAAAAGAAAAGAAAAACAACACTTAATTTATGCTACTTTTAATCATTGGGAAAAACGTTTGCTAGGTTTTGGTATTTTTAGATTCAGTTGGTAGAACAAAAACTAGAGCTATCCGATAATCGCCTATATCTGAACAAGTATTTTCTTTTACTTCAAGTCAGAAAAGAAAATAACTCAAAAACTATAATATTTTTATTTAAAAAAAAGAGACAAAAAAGCCGAATTTGATAGATAAAACCTCATATGTTTAATAAGTTAAATTGGTTTTCCCCAATTATATATTTTTTAATGCGCAGCTTTTCACAATGTTTTTAACATACTTCCTCTTTGATATCCGCTTGTCTGACAACAATCGATCAAAATACTGCTAGTTAACTTCTAAACAAGTCCTGCAGCCACTTGTATTTGATTTATTAACTTATCCCACATTATTGCTCGATGCAATATTATTGTCAGGTGGTAAAGAGTTCCTGTTGAGTTTACTTCGTTTGGTTGTGGATTTGTTTATCTCGATGCCCTATGAAGGTCTCTCACACCACCACACTCAGCTTTACTAGGGGCTAAAACAAAAAATAATAAAGCTTTTTAAAGTCACATCGTACATTTTCTATTTTCTATTTTCTTCGACTGCGCTTGCCGTCTGTTCTTGTGTTTGTTGTGTGTGTTTTTTTTCTTTTTGTGTTTTTTTATTGTATTTTTATTTATTTACTTTTTCAATCTTTTGTTTTGCTGTTTTATCTTTATCGTTTGCTTCTTTTCTTTTCTCTTGTTTTCTGACTTTTGTGCGTGTAAGTCAGTTGCCATTTTTTTAATGTAGTAGACTTCCACTTGAACTCAATCCCACACGACCCAAGCAACCAGAAACAGGACTGGTTCTTAATTTTCCCTCGCGAAATAAAGTTTTTTACCCTAACCTCCCCGCCGTCCCCACCCCGATTCCCCCTTTAGACAAGTAAAATTCTTATTTTTCATTTCGTTTGAACACGTTTCTTCTCTCCTTCATTAGGCGATAGACTGGACGTTAAAAGCGACCAAACCCTAACAATCTCAACCGACATCCCACAGATTTGGGTGAACAAGACAAACGATGGCGAATTTGTTTCTACGTTTAAAGGATGTATTATCGAGCGAGGATCGATGCTCGGCGGCGTGTTCTGGACAAGTACGGCTGCCCGCTTTGAATTTAACGATAGAATCGAAATCGACGGTTCGACTAATTTCTACGGACAGAACAGTTTATCACTCGTCAGTATCAATGAAAAAATCATCATCAAGAAACCAATTTCCTTACAAATTACTGAAGCAAGTTCTCAAAACTATTCTTCGATGAAATTCCTTGGTGGCTTTGCCCCAAGTCAGGCGTCTTTAAACGGTAAGACTATGTGAAACATTAGATATTTTAAGACTCGGAGTTTTAAAGTCTTGCAGGGTGGCGACATTTTTGCTATTGATTAACCAATCTTGTTTGATAATATAGAGTTCAGATATGGTGGCCCTGGTAAGGGTAGGTATGACTCAACCCAGGGGTATGTTACTGGAGCAGGACATGGCGGCTATGGAGGACGAATGACACTGGATACACAAGGAAACCCGTATGGTATCAATGACACATGTACATATATCGGGGGTAGTCTAGGTAAGTACGTATTCCACACACGTACATAGAAGAGATAACTAGCTAAAAACTAGTGTGAGCTGCGCCGGTGTTTCTAATGAAACAGTAATGATAAAAAGGTAAATTATATACACCGTGAAAAGATGAAAAAACTTACTGACGTTTCGGACGCTAGTCCTTCGTGGGAGTACCACCTCATTTACTCCGACGAAGGACTAGCGTCCGAAACGTCAGTAAGTTTTTTCATCTTTTCACGGGGTATAATTTACCTTTTTATCATTACACACCTACATACATTCAGGTAAAAAAAAACGCTAACTCGCTTTTTCTCACGTACTTCCTAGGCGGATCTATTGGCTTAACTCTTCCTGCGTTTGCTGGCGCTACCATTGAGCTGATAGCTGCTGTTGAAATGTCAATAGGTAAGAAGAGAGAAGTAGGACCCATTACCAGGAGCATCCATCTCCCATACTGGGTCTGTGAGTTAGCATATTCCCAGATCAGAAGCCCATAGAAGCATCCATCTCTCATACTGGGTCTGTGAGTTAGCATATTCCCAGAT